TCGTAGATGGAATATCGTTAATTATTTTTTGTACGCGTTTTATTAATTGTAGCAAAATCTGTTAACAGAAAACCCAAATGTTTACAACACAATTATGAAAAGATTTTATGTATTACAATATTTATGTGGTCGAGGCAGACGCCCGATTCAGACAGTTTTTGCGATTGTGTCCGACCTGACGACATAAACCACACTTTCTTTCCAACCTGTCTAGATCGTCCATTTCTATTGTGATGCGCCTACTTTTGGGACGACCCTTCTTGTTCCTTCGCATTTGGTCATTGTGCCACACTATTTCGCCGTCGTATGCAGGCCAATAATCTAGTTTTGCTACCAAAGGAAAGTTGTTGTTGTAAACGTTGAGCAACGTTTCAGATTTGTAAACGTTTGACAGAAGTTGCAGTGCGTCTTGATGGGTATGAGCATAAGCAACAATGACATGAGAGCAAGGCATACGAAATGCTTAAAACCTGCCACAATCGCACCATTGAGAAGGTAAAATGACCCTATATTCTTGTCTTGCCAGGCCTTCATTATGGTCGATTGTCTCTTTCACAATGAAGTTGTGGTTGTGTCAGTCAAACTGTATAACCATGTGAGTGTTGGCTTTAGCACTTTCAGCCTTAATGTATTTCATGCAGCTTTCACTCCATAGTTGTCCAGATTACAACACCGCATTCCACATTTCACCTCTTTTGGCAAATAACGCAGCCATCCTAAAATACGTAGATTTTACCAAGGCAGTGATTGGGAGGTTTCGTATGCCTTTGAATACCCCATTCATTGATTCAATAAGATTCGTTGTCATATGCCCCCATCTTTGGCCATTGTCGTATGACCTAGTCCATTTTTCCATCGGAATATTGTTGATCCACCTATCGGCTTCCGGATTAGACAAACGGATCTCGTTGTGGTAATATTTGAATGTGGGTTGTGTCAATGCATATCCCGCATTCATAACCGCTTTCCTTAATGTTTTGTCCTTGACCTCCCTCGAGAAATTCTGGACGATATGCCTAATGCAATAGACATGCGTAGAAGGAGGGTCATGCCAACCATTTGCTGGATTATTGTAGGCACTTTCAATGGAGGCATGTCTGTCAGAGATCAAACAGAGATCTGGTTGAGGAGCCACGTGTGTCCGGAGATTTTTCAGGAGAAAGCTCCAAGCACCACCGGTCTCCCCCTCGACAAGGGAAAAGGCAATGGGGAAAATGTTGTTGTTGCCATCTTGTGCAACTGCCATCAATAGCGTGCCTTTGTACTTCTCATACAACCAAGTCCCATCAATTTGTAAAATTGGTTTGCATGATGCAAACCCTGTGATGCATGGTTGAAATGCCCAAAACACGCGACTGAATATTCCGTTGCCATGCAGTAGACTACCATCTTGGGCGTACGCTGGCAATGTTTCCAGAACGTAAACACTACCTGGAGAATACGTCTTGAGTGCATTCAGGTAGCAGGGAAGTTCTCGGTATGACTCCTCCCAGTTTCTGTACACCCTTTCAATCGCCTTAGTCTTTGCTAACCACGCCTTACGGTAAGACGGAGTGTAGTTAAAAACCGTGGTGATGTGGGAGATGATTGTTTTCACCTTCAAAGATGGGTCGTTGCTGACCAGGGGTAGGATTTCTTGACAGATTAGATGATAGTTGAGTTTTCGGTGGTCCTGTGATTGAGTGGAACTTACACAAGTGTGGGTAGTCATGGAACCTATGACCCAGTAGGCACCCCTTAATCTGTATGATGCGGTCAGCTTAAACATACAATCAGGGTGGACACACTTGATCTTGTACCTTTCCGGGTTGACACGATCCACCTTAAAATCAACCGAGTTGAGCATGTGAAATTTTTTAATGGCCCTGATGCATTCCTCTCTGTTACGAAACTTGTCCTTCTCTTTTAAATTTTCATCCGACTGCATATACGGATTGAAAAATAAGTCAGTAGAAGGTTCATCTCCGCCATGTTGAAGTTTGTCATGTGCGGAGGTGGTGTGTAGATTTTTTCTGTAGGAATACTAGGGATGCCATCATCGTCGGAATCATCGTTCACCATTTCATCAAACTCTAACTCGTTATCTTCTTCTTCATCATCAACTGCATCTACCTCATCTTGTTCATTCTCCAAAGGATCAACCTCCTGTGTCACCTGAGGCTCTTGAAGCAAAACGTACAACTCAATAGAGTCGTATCCAGAATAGACATGGCTGGAAATCATATTCTGGAGATCCTCGTCATCTTGAACTTCAACCTTATAAAAAATTACTTGGTTGTTTCCAAAGAAAACTGGATTCTGATAAAATATCTGGGACACCGGGCCTCGTTCGAGTTTGGCCTCCAATCTTTTTTTGAAGTACGAGAAATTGGCTTTCCCGTTTAAGAGAAATCGGATGTTATCTGTGTCTTTAAACAAAAACCCAGTTGTGGGACAAATGTATGTCTCACCGTTGAAATGTGCTTTGACGACAAATTATGGTGAAGAGGCCATTGCGTAGAATTGTTTTAAGGTTTGAAGGTTGGAATGTTTGAGGTTTATTGATTGTATGAAGGTTTGAATGCTGTAATGTTTGAAGGTTGGAATGTTTGAATTTTATGAGTGATTCGAAGGTTGGAATGTTTGATTGTTTGCAGGTTTGAAGGTTTGGTTGTAAGAACGTTTGAAGGTTGGAAGATTTGACAGATTATGTGAATCAATGTTATGATAAACGTAAGGCTAAAAATTTCAATTAAGTAAGGAATTAAATGCAGGGTAGTAAAAGCCAGAACTTATCTTATGATACTTTTTGGTACATTTTTATTTCCCGAAAGTACGGGAAATAGTGTAAATTTTATGTACTTACATTTACTAAGAAATTTTGAAAAAACAAGAAAATATAGTTGGGGTTCTGCAGTTTTAGCCAACCTATACAGTTCCTTGTGCAAAAACGCAGTCAAGGAAAAATGTACATTTTATGGGTGCGCTTTTTTACTACAAGCCCGAGGTTGGTGGAGGATGGAGTCCTTAAACCCCGTCAACAACAACACTTTCGGTTTCCCGTACGCAACAAAGTAAGTCATCAAGTTATAGCATTTATAACTATTCTGCTCTTCCCAAAATATATGCTAAGAATAAAATGTTTCTCATTTCCTTTAGGTACTGCGTGAGGGGTATGGATTACGGCAAGAATCCAAGATTCAATGCCGCACTCTACCGCAACCTGTTGGATCACTTAGGCCCGGATGACGTACGTCGTAGCTTTTAACTTTTGTTCAACTAAATTATTTATACATTACTTTTGCATTAACCTAATTTACATTTTATCGCAGTTCGTCTGGAGACCATATTTGGGTTTGGGCCATGATCCAAACCCGGAGGATGCAGCAACTTGGACCGCGAAGACTGCAATCATTCGATTCAACATTGTGGAGATGCACCACAGCGACTGTTTGAAGATGCAGTTCGGAATGCATCAAGAGATACCAAGTGATCCAACTTGTTTGTCCCTATGGCATCTTAAAAGGGTCGACGCCCAGTGGGGTCTTACCAACTGGAAAGACTTCGCTCCGGAATGGTGTAAGATGTGGCAGAGGCGTCACCGCTATGTCTTGCAATTCCCGGTTTTCCTTACTCAAGGTAATATGAGACACACGGATCAATATTTGTCTTGGTACAGGTCGGTTAGTAACCCTGAAATGCACGTGTCTCATCCAAGGTACTTGGTTGACCCACGCACACAATGGGCACAACCCTCGATTCCCCATCAACAAACGCAAAACCCATCAACCTCCCACCAACCCCCGAGAAGAAACAGACCCACAAACACCCAACAACAGTCCCCACCACAACACAACTAAAATCAAATGCCGCACAACCAACCACAATCACCACCAAACTACCAATACCCCGATATGCCTCAAACCCAACCACAATACCAATCCCAATACCAGCATACCCGCATACCCCACACACAATTTCAGTCTTCCACATATCCCAATATGGCCCCTTAAACATCCAGCCTTAGCCCTGATATGGGAATGTCGGAAGATTACGAACAAACCGACCCAACCTACCATCACCCACAATATCACCAAACCACCCAACATCCTCAATACCAAACACCCCAAGATCCATTTCTTTTCTACCCACCGTAATCAGACGATCAATGCTACAGACCCACTATGGAACCGCACCCACCGCCAACACGACCAAACTTTGAGGGTATGGGTAATCGACTGTACCAGAGCGGATCTTCTAGATATGGAGATCTGACTGATTTTATGGATTCGGACCGCATTAACTTCGCTGGGCCATCAACCTTGCCGCAGCAGGAAACGCGATGACACCCAGCACGAGAAAGGCGAGGACGGGGATGCGGAACCGGGTTCCGGGGGATCACTGATGTATCTGTTTTTTTTTTCCAGTATTTTTGTATCCATTTTTTTTAATCTGTTTTTTTACTGTTATTTTAATGTAATACAGTTGGATGTAATTTTTTTTTATAATAAAAAGTCCATTTTGTTGATCTCTGTCCAACACGCAACGCACCGGGAAAAAATATCATTTTTTGACCTAAAAATACACCTAGGTGCCATCTCACTTGGCTTAGGGCATGCCCTAAGCACATAGGTGCCAAGTGAGATGGCGCCTCCCCTTAAAATATAGGTGCATGCGCCATTTCAGATGGCTCCTCCTTTGGGGAGTCATCTGAAACATGGTTATTTGCGTATTTTTTTCCGAAACGCAGTTATTTGCGAAATATTATTTTAATACTTGGTTATTAATAAAAAAAATTCACAAATAATATATATAAAAACATAAAATGTACCAGCTAGGAGGCACTTTTGTCGCATGACTTTCTGGCCAATTCAAGATTAAATGATAGCCAATAATTTAGCGACACGTGGCAATGTTTTCCAATTAAATAAAATAAAACTGAAGCTTCCACTTACAAACACCTTGTGAAACTTTCTCTGTTCTATTTCTACTTCTTCCCCAAATCTCATTTTTCTCCCCTTCTATACAAAGGCTCGCGAAGTGGCATGGTTGGAGATTGGAGGGATCGCATGAGTTTTGCGGGTGGAACAGGTTGTCAGTGTTGTTGTGAACGGAGGGCGGTGGGTGGCTAGTGCGCTGTCCTGGGGATGACGAGGTGAAGATGGTGGAGTGGCTAGTGTTGTTGAGCGGACTGGAGAATAGATGATAGAGGGATTTTGCAACGATGAAGATGGATGGTGTGTTCGGTGAGTAGATGTTGCAGTGAGAGGGAGTAATAGTGGCGGTTGCATGGACTGAGATCGGAAGAGGTTGGATGTTGATAATGTTGGAGGTCCATTTGAGAGAGGTGGAGGAGATTGAAGAGTCATGGAGGGACAGAGCAGAAGTAGAGGAGATACAATTTAAAGATTAACGTGAAGCTAATGGTGGTGATGATTGTGAGAGAGTCGCGGATGCAACGAATTTGAATGGTGCTGATTCAGAGGTGAGATTGAGGATGTAAGTGGATTGAGGGTTTAGTGCGGTAACGAATGAAGCACATCAGCATATCGGCTGTTCGTAGGGGTGTCAAAACGGGCCCGGCCCGTTGGGCATGCCCGTTTTACCCCCACTTTAGTGCAGGGCAGACCAAGAATTTAGACCCTCACCCTCTAATGTGACCATCCCGCCCCGCCTTGTTTTCTTCGCGGGCTTTTGCGGGCATGATTATTAACATAAAATTTTTGTGCTTTTAGGCCTAAAAGGTGCAGTGTTCGCGGGCTATCCCCCACACTCACTTTTTTGCGGGGCAGGCCTAGGTTTTAGGCCTTCATTCTCAACTATGCCCGCCCTGCCCCGCCCTGTTCTTTTGCGGGCTTTTACGGGGCGGGCATGCCTATTTGCCACCACTAGCTGTTGGTGGGTGAACGACAAGTCATGGGGCAAGCTCCCCAATCAGAATCTAAAAAACCGCAGGAATCAAATCGGTTTGGTTGTTGAAGTGCAGACCTAATGCTGGAGCATTCTTGATGTAACGCCACATGTAGAATGCTACTTATAAATGAATTTCTATTGGTGTTGGGAGATGTTGATTAAGCCTGGTGGTGAAGCATACGAAGTTTTCAAATGGTGAGTAATAGAAACGTGAGAATGTTGAGGTTGATTGAGTAGAGCAAGTAAAGTCTATTGTTGTTCAGTAGTGCAACCAATAGAAGTGTTGTCTTGAGGGGTTTCCTAGTGAAGCTTTATGTTGTCGAGACCATCATCATCAGTAGAATCAGTTTGAGTTGAATTGTATTTCGTTAGGTATGGTGGTAATCCTTGCTTTTTTGAAACACACTCCAATTTTGTGACCATGTTTTTGACAATAGGTACAAATCTTGAGACCTCTCCCCGCGACCAGTGGAGTTGGATTTGCTGCTCGAATGCCATGGTTTTTCTTTGTGGTACCGACGTTGGAGGATTGCACAATTCTCTTCTTCTTTTTGTTTCGTTACCTCCTCCTGTAAAACAAACTGCAAACCAATAGAATTGTGTTTTTTTTTACTTTTGGTTAGTAAGAGATTTGAATTAATGAAGAAAAATGGTCAAAATTTTATGTGCAGAAGCAAGCCAAAATAAGGGTTATTCTTTTGTAAAAACAAAGTCTTTTTGTGTGGTAAAATTAGTGTTTAGAAAAGTATGTGCAGGAGATAAAATGCAACTTTGGATTTGGAAAGTGTGTAGAGAAATTATTGGTAAAGCGTTTACGTGTGAATATGTGTAGTATATACACATGAATTTATGAATATACAGTGTGTGAGTGAACTAATAGTTGGTGAAAACTTGTGTAGTTTGGACTTTACATGCAAAGTAGTTTTGTGGTGTGTGAAGTTTTAGTGAAACAATAAAACCTTCAGTTTGTCATCAGTTTTTCTTCTCAACTGATCTGGTACATGCCTATGTGCAATAGATCCAAATACCTTCAGATGACTTAAGTTAGGTTTCACACCAGACCAACATTCTTCTGGAGTAATTCCTTTTAGCTTCTTCGTAGGACATCTGTTCAAAATATATGTTGCAGTCGATATAGCTTCACCCCAAAACTCTTTAGGTAAATGCTTTCCTTTCAACATGTTTCTCACCATATTCATGATGGTTTGGTTCTTCCTTTTTGTAGTTCCATTCTACTGTGGAGTGTAGGGTGACACCATCTCATGCACAATCCCTTCTTTTTCACATAATTTATCAAAGTCTTTCGACATATACTCTCCACCACCATCAGTTCTCAAAACTTTGAGCTTTCGACCACTTTGTCTTTCGACCATAGATTTAAACTTGGTAAATACCTCGATCACTTCACTTTTCTTCTTGATCAGGTAAGTCCATAGTTTTCGACAAAAATCATCTATGAATGTAACAAAGTATTTGTTACCTCCCATCGAATCCACCTGGATTGGTCCATATACATCAAATTATATGACTTTGTGAATAGCCTTCAAATTTCTTCCTTCATCCTTGTTGAAGCTATTCTTGTGCTACTTCGCTTGCACACATTCCTCACATACCCCGTTTGGAATGTCAATTTTTGGAAATCTTGAAACCATATTTCTTCTCTTCAAATCTTTGATGTCTCTGAAGTTGAGATGGCTTCATCGACAGTGCCGTATCGATTCATCTCTACTAGCTGCAGTCGAAAGGCACTTGTGCTTCATCACATTAAGTTCAATCTTGAAGGTTCTATTTTGAGACATGGGATCCTTCAAGATTAACCTTCCATTTGTGTCGACGACTCTCATCATCTTGTCTTTGATCGATAATTTATAGTTCTTTTCAACCAAATGCTCTATACAGAGCAAATTGCACTTCATGCCTGGTATGTACCACACATTGGAAATTACCGACCTCTTGCTATCTTTCCTCATAATCATAACATCAACAATACCTCCAGCCACTAGAGTATTGTCATTTGTAAATTTTACCATGTTCTTCATTGAGGGTTTTAGGTTGACAAACCAATCTTTCCTTCCAGACATATGTGATGAGCATCTTGAATCTAAGTACCATTGATCCTTGAATTTTTTTTTCATCTCTTGTTGTAACCATCAACAACATCTCCTCTTCTTCATACTTTGCGAACTTTGCATCACTTTCTTGATTCTTTCTCTTTTCTGAACAATCACTCACATAGTGACCATACTTTTGACAATTGAAACACTGAATGTGACTCTTGTCGGGTTTTCGACCACCATATCTTCCTCTATTTGAAACACCACCTCTTTGGTTGACTTGGTATGGTCTTCTCTGATTTGACACATTTTTTTCGTGCTGGTTTCCTCTACCAGTTCAATTATTGTAGCCACATTTACCTTTGTTGTCGAACCTTTTCCTTTGCCTTTCTTATCTTTTGTTGATTGAACCTGCAAAGCCACATCACTCTTTGACTTGCCTGTGGCTCTTTCATCCATTATTTGTTAGTGAGATTCAAGCGTCCCTTGAAGCTCTTCCTTCGAAAAAGATGACATGTCCTTTGACTCTTCTATGGCAACTAACACATGGTCGAATTTCGGAGCCAAAGATCTTAAGATCTTCGAAACAACTGCCCTTGTTGTTAATGTCTCTCCATAAGTCTTGATTTAATTCACTAGTGATAATGATAAATTATATCATGTATTTAAGCTCATTGTGCATATTTTTCGCCCGAATTTTATTTTATTTATTTGAATTTTACCTTCTTTTTGTTGTTTTGCCGTTGCTTTGATCATCGGTCACAAATTCAGAGCTAAATCGGAGAAAGAGCAGAAAAAGAGCTAAAGTACAACAAATATGCAAATTCCTGTCTCCGATATGGAATTCGCCATAGGGATATGGCGTTTGCCATAGGGATATGGTGTTCGCCATATGGAGATGGCGTTTTCCTTTATCTCTCATGCCACATAATTATCAAGTTGAAGCAATAGCAAACTCCATGACCCCAACAATGATCGCCATTCAGTCACCGAATAGTTTTTCTATTTTTTAAGAAGCAGTTAACTACAGTTTGGAATTTTGAATCTTCCCTCATGTTTAAACCGCACCCAATAGTAGTTGAAGGGCCATTTCCTCGCTATATAGGGCCTCTTAGTCAGTTTTCAATATCCAAGTCTTATGCGGAAGCTCTGTCAAAATAGTTCTAGGCATAAAATTCATGTAAAAGTGACAATAACTCACATCGAGGGATTGTCACACCAGTTTATTCTTTTTCTTGTACTAAATTCATGGATCATAAATACAAGCCTGCCACCATTTTTATTTCTATTAAGTCTTTTCAATTACTAGGTTATCATTTCTTTATTGTTTTCTTATTTATCATTATTTTTATTGCCATTAACATGTTAGTAGTAGGTTTAATATGTTTTAATATGTTTGTATTAAATGAAATGATGTCTGGCTAATTCTGTTTGAGACCAGCGTATGAGGACCGTCATAACCGACGGGACTCAGTAGAAAACATTAGGTGTGAACCTACGAATAATTGAATATTTTGGTCCTAGTTTCCATGTAGTTAGTATATTATTTCAACACGAGAGTGAGGAATAGACCAAGGTTTAATCTGATAGCACGAGAGTGTGAGGAATGAACCAGATAGTGGGAAATAGACATTAATCCTTGTGATACGGTGGCAAAACCAATTTTTATATACTGGTTTGTGTTTTTTGTTCGCAAATGTTGCGGTAAGCAAGAGTCGCCACGAACTTTTGTTTTATCCAAATTAAGGAAAGTGTGAAAAGAACAGAAAAAGACCTTTTTCGAGATATTCTGAGTAAGGGGGTAGATTATGGAAAGGGAAGGTATTAGCACCCTTTCCATCCATGGTTTTCCATGGGCTCTTAGGTACTTTCTCATTTTTGAATTTTTTTTGTGTTTGTGTATTTTGAAAGATTTTTGTTTGCTTTATGGTAACTCTTGTAACAGTGCTCAAGAGTGTGATAAAGCATTTTTGAAAAGATTTTTGAAAAGTGTTTAAGTGTGAAAATTTCAGGTTTGAGCAAGTACCTAACAATTATCTACCTACTCGAAAAAAGATGTTCTTTTCCTCTTTTCCTTTAGATAGTGCTATCCTACTATTAGTGAGTAGGTAGCCCTATCGTCGGATGTTGAGGGACTATCGAAAGGGATGCTATGGTCATTGAAGGAAACATGTAAGGATATCTTAGCATTCGAAGGAACGGTCATCATATAAATAACATCGAGGGACAAGATCATTTCTCGTAGGAAACTCGAGGGACATTATGGACTATGATCTTTTTTATGACTTTAGAATTGAGGGTCTTTACTAAGATATCCCTACGTTCGAGGGACATGACCATTATTTTCCGAGGCAACCAAGTGAGGAGTACCCTAAGGATGCAAGTGTGAGAAGTGTGTTTTT